CCGATTTTACCAACTCGATTAAGCCGAATCGGTGTCAATACTACTTTACGACGATAGAAACAGCTATAATATAATCTTTTTAAGTGCAGTTGTTGTCTTAGAACTGAACGAATATCATACGAGTATATTTACACACAGATCGAAATGATACTGAATTATTTAAAGATAATAAATAAGATGTTAATATTCACGAAATAAATACATTCTTTCCATACATGAAATGTACGTTTCCATATTTTGCGCAACGTAAAATCTATTGTTTTCTATTTCATGTTCCATTACAACTGTTTATAACTTTTAAACAGGGCTCGGTTTTATTTCAAATAAATTCATTTAAAATATACATTTTAAATACAAAAAAAAAATTAAATAGTTATTTAGTATATATTATATTTAAAATAAGTCCATGTTGATTTTCCACCTGGTTCGCGAAGAGTTAATACTATTAAGTATTAATTGTAGGCTGTAGCTATAAAAAAAAAACTGAAACGTTATATTTAGAAATATAAATGTATATTCGTATATTCAAATATACAAAATAAATCATTAAAATATTTTTTATTTAAATATTATTTGAAACGTTTATTAAAAATACATATTTCTTACTTTATATTTTAAGTAAGTTTTCGAATTCTATTTTTTATTTAAAGTAAGAAATAGTTTTGTCGAAAACCTATTTGAAATAAAAGGCAAGTTATTTTTATATTTTAAATAAAAGTTATTCTATATTTTAAATAAATAAATGCATTTTTGGATCCTATTTCTTATTTCATATTTTAAATAATTTCATGCAAATTTATTTAATATTTTAAATAAATTTTTGGAATCTATTTTATATTTTTTATTTGAAATAAGTGGTATCAATGATTTTATCGACTCCTACGAATGTATATTTTAAATAAGTTTCTGGAACTTATTTTATATTTGTTATTTTAAATAAGTCATATCAATTATTTTACCGAGTCCTGCTCCTAATGCATTTCTAACGAAGCCTCATATAATATTTTTTTCTTTTTTCCGTTGCACTTATATAATATACTTCTGCAATTAATTGTCTGTTAAATAATATTAAGTTGTTCGGAAAATTCATTTCAAATTTTGTTAACTCAAAATTATATACAGAATATATTTATTGCGAAGTTTTCGACTATCTGTCGTGAAAGCTCCAAATTTTCCTTAAAAATTCGATTTAAAAAGTGTCATTACGATTTTTTGTTGTGATTTATTCGGTTAAGTAAAAAGGAACATTCCGACTCATAACTGCGTTATAAATCATCGTACCGCAATTAGAGATACAGATTTCTAATGCTGAAACTTTTCTCTATCAAATGGTATAATTTTATTTAAAAAATAGAATATATATAAATTTGAATTAAAAATATGTACTTTTATTGTAATCATTGCGCAATAGTTATAGAAGGACAATAATATTATATTTTTAGCTCAAATGCATATATATTGTTTTTTTAAAAATTGGCATTTATATCACTCAATAGAGCAATGTTTCAGCTTTAAATCTGTTTTTTTAATTGTGATTCGATGATTTTTGTCGGAGTAATGAGCAATCAAAGTCAGATTGCTTTTTTTTATTTAATTCTTCTTATTCAAAATAAAAAAATTGTAGGAATATTAAAAAAAAAACATTTTTGTAACGAAAACTTCAAATTTTCACGATAGATAGTGGAAAATTTTCGCAAATTTATTTTGGGCAGGTGACAGACCTACAAAGTGAGAACAAATTTTTTCATTTTTTTCAACTCGTAGTTTTGTATATGTTAAAATTATAAAACTCACATAAACTCAAGAAATATAGTAAGCTTTGAAAATAAAAATTTCAAGTTTTAAAACCCTTTTTCTAAATTTAAATTTCGTTTATTTTTAATAAAGATGTACATACAATTTTGGACTAACCAAATTTGAAATGAACTTTTCGAATAACTTAATATATGCTGAGACACTTTGTATATGTACACGCACGCTCGCACACACATCAATATCAAATATTAATACTCTATCTAGACTTTAGCAGCTAGCTACAGCAAAAGACAAATTGCGTAAATATACATATAATACATATAATTATAGCCTATGTTTAGCTTACTCGTATATATGTATAAAATACAAAAATTAAAAAATGCATTGATGGTTTAGGACGTGTATAAAAAATAATTTTATTAAAAAACAGTATTTTTTTATCTGTGCTCTAATGAAGATGTATGGAAATGTGTGTGTGTGTGTGTGTGTGTGCGCGCGTGTGTGTGTGTGTGTGTGTATAAAATAAGATAATTGCAAAAATCTTAACTTTTTATTTAAGTTCTTTAAGTATTCGAGAAATGATATTATGTAAAGTTTCATTGATGCAATGGTTACAGAAGGATAGTAATATTATATTTTTAGCTGAAATGCATATATAATATATTCTTTTTTTTTTAATTGACATTTATATCACTCGATAGAGCAACGTTTCAGCTTTAGATGCAGAAGTTGCATGATTATATTGTTCTATAAATAAACAAAATATTTCGGATTGAAACTCTCGAAGTGTTCAAATTTTTGTGTATAAAAATTTATAATTACAGACATACATATAATCAACTAGCTTTGCTCATCAGCTCTTCGTTTAATTTATGTTATTGTTAATAAAATATATTTTTTCCTTATATAATATAATATATATAATATATTTTATTAAACATCTAATTTTTGCGTCGCAATGAAACTTATAATTGCATTTTAAATATTTAAAGTACTTATACAAAAAAAAGTTTAGATTAATTTTGTCATTATATGCTTTTCAAATTTTAGTAACCGGAAGATAATAATAAATAAAGTAAATCAAAATGTGTTCAATACAAATAAAATGCTTGAAATACAACTTAATTCATATGTATATAGTTTATTTAAAATATAAATATTAACACATTTGTAAAAATATAATATAACCTCAAATGTTAATACTTTTAAGCAAAATAAACGTTACGCGCATGTAAGAGATAAATATTTCTGGTGCACAATTTGTGAATGTAGCACGATTATATGAACCAAGTATCGATTTATCATCTGGAGTTGAAAAGTGGACGTATTACTCTCAGAAAAGTAGACGTATTACCGTCAGAGCTATGTAATTTACATCCACTTTGTCAGGGGGCAGTAGTGCGCTGCAGCATTTTGCGGTTACAGGTTTTGGGCCGGCATATCCTCTCTCAGGTTCTTCTCTGGTGGTAGCACAAACCGAACTGGAATCTGGCAACACTGGAATTCGCATCACTGCAGACTGCTTCACTATTCTAGTCTCACCAAATCAGTTTCACCATTCAGTCACATTCAGTTCTGCGGGGCTTCTACGCATCTAATCGCCGTATGTTATTATCGCAATTACGGCGAAGTGACATATTATTGCGTGCTACCTCGATTATGTTTCGCCTAGATGAAGCTTATTGCGATTTCCTTTATGTAGCATTTAACCGCAGGCATCCATGTCGATCGGTCACCCTTCGTGATTAAAATTCAATGCAGCAACAATTCATGTAAACAGTATTGAAGTTTACCCACTGTACAGAGAACGAAACGAGTTTTGGCCGAAAGAACGAAATTTGAAGTGATTTTTTCGGAAATTCCGTCGCCTAGAATCGACGTCGATTCATGAATTTCCGCGCTCCATTGATTTGCTCGCAACGGGAAACATGATGACCCGTCTAGCTTTTTGCATTGCAGAATCCCCATCGGGCGGATTAATGTAGATTTGGCCGCGTTCTTCCACTAATGAGATCTCGCACAGGTAGGAGCCTGAGCACAAAGGTGACTGTAACTGAGTCGTGGAACATAAGTCGGTAGTTGTAAGTTGACCAAAACATTGTATGTTGATCTATGACTACGACTTATTTACGACTATCTTTGTGTTAAAGTCCTAGCTAACTCGTGTTTTAACGAATGAATGATGCGCGCTCATAAAAGAATCGACTGTTACAATCGATTTTATTTAAATAGAGCACGAAGAATTCGAAAGAGTGACATTTCTTTTGCAGCACGCAGTGACATGATCGATTCCTATTGTGATATTGCGCGAATATGTAGTTTGATTCAATCGTCCCATTATCAGAACAGGAGACCTCATGCTTAAAGATGTATGTCACATTTAAAAACAAAACCAAAAATATAAAAATTTCATAAATTATTTTATTTTTACGTCTGAATATGTGTAAAATTTGAGCACAATTCTCTTATAATTGTTTTAAAAGTTATTTAATTTTTTGATTTTTTAAATTTGTTTTGATTTTATGTATAATTGTAATAAATCTTATAATATGTAAATTTTTGATGAAGTAATATTAAGAATTAAATAAAATTTTGTTGAAATATTGATCAAACAATAATAAATGTTTTGCGTAAAAATTTATTTTAAACTTTTACTTGCTCGTTAGGCGTTATTGACTTAAAATTATAAAAAAATATGATCATTTTGCTATTATAAATCAAATTATTTGTTTCTTGCAAATGTTTTAAAAACACGTTCATGGCCTAATATTAAAATTCGTCGAATAATATTGCTTAACATTAGCTTATTTTGACTGATTTTTTTAGACGATATTATTTAACCGACATATTTTTAATTATGGGCATCCAGAGGAGATCCAAAATTGGGCATTTGTTTCCCTCCCTGGGCTTACTCTCTTCTGGGCAACAGGCACGCTTTGAATAAACGCGCGTGTTGATGACGGCAGACTAGTGCTGAACTTGCTATGGTATCTTGTAGTAATAAAAAATTTAAAAAAAAGTAATATCTTTTTCGACTTACACCTACCTTGTCGTGGTGGGAAAATTTTTAACTAAAAAATGTATACTTTTATAATTATATATATATATATATA